CAATGTGGTTACTGAATGGAAGTACGTCAATGCGGAGTGGTTGCTTATTTGAATCAATGGGAGAGGAGGGTGAAAAAGGTGCTGGGCAAAAGCTAGGTTACGCAGTCTTTTCTTGGCAATTAATTCAACGAATGGAAAAGTTCTAAACGCAGAGCGGTCATATATTGCTAGCAAGTCGCAGGTCCTACTTCCAAGCGCTTTTAAAGTTTTAAAATTGGACCCTATTTATCACATTATGCCGAATGCTGTTCGATCTTATCAAGCTAGCTGCAATTTTTTGTATACTTTCTATCAATCATTTAGTACATACTCTCATTAAGTACTATTTAATAAATGCGTTAAAATATGCCCGCACAAATGTGAGCAATTCACGCAGAATTAGATGAGATAGACTAGTCAGATGTAAAAAACAGTGCAGAAAACATAAAAAGCCGAGTGAAGCCGGGTATGCCAGCTAGTTATTTATATATTGCAACAGAAAGTGTGCTAATTGATGGATTTCAATTTTTTGCAATCAATCAATGTATTACCGTCCTTCTAATAGATTCACCTAAGGGTAATTTATCCAAAGTTCATGAATAGGGTGTTTAATATAAGCATGGAATCGCTCACTGTTGCCTTAGCTGTTTAATGCTTGATTTTATCGATAAAGAGGAGGTGCCGGAAAAGTGGAAATCCCTCCGTACAACTCGTCCATCCTGTCGCGTTCGCATTGCCGCATCTCCTCGATCTCTTCAACCGTCATTAGTGAAGTGGCCAATCATAGAAGTGCTCATCCAATCAAGGATCAGGCCACGTTAAGTTCGGGCTCAGAAAGGTGCTTCAGATAAAAAAGAGAAGGGAATTACAATTCTTTTTTTAATTGATTGTAACTCGAAAAATTTCCATAGCAAGCGGAAATCGGAATCAGAAATTTAAAATATCCTTCATCATACGTTTTTTTTAAAACTTATTAAGCCTATGAACGCATCAGATTTAGTATAAAGTTCTACTCCCATCTGTGCATAATAAAAGTTCCCTCGAGTACTGGGTAGAATTGGTGCTTTTCTCATCTGAAATGGAGTGACCACCCCGTAACCCAAACGCTATGTTGATTTCATGGCCAATTTACTTTTTCCTTAAGTCTCTGTCCTCCCCATTGTGCTCGATCTTTTCAAGCTTAGCCTCCACTGAAATATAGTTGTTTTTTTTCTCGTCCATCTGTCGATATCTGGCCCCTCCCTTTTCGGGATGTTATTTCCTCTAGACACACACTGCCTTTGTTTCCACGATTACTGTGTATAATGAATGTGCACACTCGGCGTTCGCTGTTATTTATTCGAATGGAATGGCTCATGTGAGATCATGAGTGTCTGAATGAATGAAAACCGGGATTAATGCCATTTTAGCGTATCTTTGAGATACATTAGTACGATATCAGCGAAGAAATCTCGTTCACTGGCAATAATTGCTCTGAGGACTGCACATTTGGATTTGTTGCTAGCACCGTATTAAAATGAACGACCAGAAGAAGCACAGTATTCGGAGAATGAAGGAAGCAGCAACAAGTAAAAAAAAAAACAAATGACACATAAGAAGGAAAAAGCTCATGACAAAAACCAGCAGTTACAACTTGAAATTGCAAAACTTACAATTGTATCCTAAGTAAGTTGTATCAATCCGGTTCTTCTCTAACCTCATTCATCATTGAGGGCTGTTGAGCCAGGATAAAAGGCGAGAGTGAATGTGAATTCGTCATAAGAGGAGTGGTAGGAGATGATTCGGTTAGGGTTTGCGAGGATGTTCTATGAGGACAGGCTTGTAGAACTGCGGAAAGGTTGATGTAAGTTTCGGAGACGTTAGATGGATCGAGTATAGACATGAGATGTTGATAGCCAATCGCTTGTTGGGTGCATTTCAAGCAGATTTCTGCTAAAATTCGTTTTGGTAGCGTTATTTTGGGAGCGTATGTTTGATTTATAAAGCTCTCAAAGTCATTAGTATAGGTGTACTCATGTGTTTGATTTTGTGGAAATTTTTTTTGGAAAGTCTACTCTAAGTGCTGTTTTCTAAAGATTTTTCAAATTTTCTCTTAGGTGTCAAAAAGTTTTTGATAATTTTCGTAAGATTTTCTGAATCTGGAATACAATGCCTTGAAAGTATGAAATGAGGACATACGCGTACTACTAGTAGGAGAACGTGCTCGTTCAGCTGAAATATTCTTCTCTCGTTTTTGCCTTCGTCGCAGTTTGATTTGATCAGCCATCAATTTCTGACGTTCCACGACCACCTGCGATGAAATATGACTACGGTAAGCGTCGTCACACATCG